ATTCCAGAAGCAGAACACCACTCTCTTGCGCTGCCTGGAATGGGGACGAGGGAGTCGTGAAAATACTACTTAGACGGAGCGACGTCAACCCAGACTTGCCAGACCACGATGGCCAAACACCACTTTATCGAGCTGCTTGGAATGGGAAGGAGGGGGTGGTGAAAATACTACTCGGACGGGGCAACGTCAACCCGGACATGCCAGATCGGTACGGCCAAACACCACTCTATCGAGCTGCTAGGAATGGGAACGAGGGAGTGGTGAAGATACTACTCGAACAGGAAAATGTCAACCCCAACATGCCAGATCAGCACGGTCAAACACCACTCGATAGTGCTGTTGAGAGTGGGCACCAGGGGGTAGTAGAAATACTACTCGCACGGGGCGGCACCCAAAGCTCGGTCCCCGGAAGCAGCGTAAGCAATGAGGGTGGCCCCAACACCGAAGACTGCCTCGACATTATGGGCAACCCCAACAACGACGACACCTCGAACAATGAGGACAACTTCAGCAATAACACCGGTGACTCCAACATTTACGGCAGTACCTGTATGAGATACACCACAATTAATTATTGTGGAGCGGTCTTTCCAGCTGTTCCCGGTATGCAGTGTTTCATTGCCTGTTATTGCTCCCGACTTATTGCTAATAATATGTGCAGGAACCTTTAGAGAGCTGATAACGAACAACCTTTGGGGCGTCCCGCCGCCGGAAATTGACCTAGATTACCTCCGCGACCCATTCAATCTGCCTGAGGCTGGCACCGGAGAATGGATTTTCGAAGACGATAGGTTTAAAAAATGGCAGGAGAGCAAAGAATCAGAGGTTCTGTGGCTTTGCGGTGGCCCTAGAACAGGAAAGACTACGCTGGCTAAACTTGTCGCGGCCGAACTTCTCAAAGGACTTAGCGATCCTCCAAGAAGTGTTAAATTGGTTTACCACTTCGTCTCACCCGAACTTCCCACGGACAGCATGTTTAATGATAGTCCCGAGCCACGAAAACGGAGGATTGCCCAAGTAGCCTGCGACCTACTGTACGTCACTTTTCAGCAGTACGGAGACCTTTTCGATAGCTTTAAGATTGAACTTGAAATTCAGGGGGATAAATTTTTCACCAACCCGAATTCTTCATGGAGAGTTCTAAAACAAGCGATCCAGGATTGCCCAACAGACTCCGTATACATTCTCATCGATGGTGCAGATGGTCTCGACGAACTCTTGTGTGGAGAATTGATTAGAAGGATTCTAGGGCTCAGGGTTATCCGCAAGGTCAAAATATTTTTCTCAAGTCGGGATGTACCTCAAGTTTCCAACAACCTTTCCGCACGTAGCGAAATCAGCCTTGATACAAACAGATTCGTAAAAGAGGATGTGAAAACCTTTATCAGGCACGAGGTGAATGCGTTCAGGGAGTGGAGTGACAAACAGAAGGTCGGAGCAATCCAAACTCTTTTGGCAAAGTCGGAGGGAACCTTCCTCTGGGCATCATTGGCGATTGGAAATTTGGAACGTTCCTGTCCTGGCCATAACTACGAACACTTTCTGATGGAACTCCCATCAACGCTAAGAGACCTTTACGGAAAAATGCTACGCGATATCCGGTCACGGGAAAGATCGGAGGAGGTTCTGTATATGATCCGGCGTGTGGCACTCGCCTTACGTCCGCTCACATTTGGCGAACTCGGACATATCTCAGCATATATAGAAGAGGCAGAGTGTGGACAACAGCGCTCTTGTGGGGAGGCAAGCGCCGAAATTTCACCCAAAACAGAGAAGGAAATCAGGGAGTATGTCAAGAGCTCTCTGGGATTTCTACGGGCTGGCAACACAACTGTATCCATTGTCCACCATACCGCAATAGAGTGCCTTTTTGATGAAACTCTCAATGGTGGCACACAGGCGTCCCGTAAAAGCGACCTCGACCTCGCACTTTCTTGGGAGTGCTTCCAATACCTCCACCGCGCTTTCGGAGACCCGGAGAAATTTCCTAAAGGAAACAACAGGGGACATCGCGCTAGGTCCCGAGAGTCAAGTTCAAAGCCAGGCCACCCGGAGGAGCCAGCCGAGGCTCCATGGGAAGTGGCACGGAAAGATCCACAGGAAGCCCTGGCCAAGTGGCCATATCTCAGCTATGCGGCAGAATCCTGGCTCACTCATGCCCGTCGGAGCGCCGAGATCGCAGAGAACGAATTCTGTGACGACTCTACCCGTAACTGGTTGCAGTATCAGTTCTTCGATACCAACGATGCCATACGAAAGCCCTGGATTGAGCTATGTGGAGATCCAAAAATGGAAATTTTGGCGGGGGATCAGACGCCACTGCATATCACAGTCTGTCTGGGGCTCGTGCCACTAGTAGAAAAAGCCCTCTTGGATCCCAATGCTAGGACGGAGGGTATGAACAACAGCCCGCCACCCCTACACCTAGCGGCCAAGTTCATGTCCGGGGCATATAAGATCCCAATTGCGCAGGGCAGCCCATCCCTCCTCACAGTGCCGGATCAATACGGCAACACACCGCTACACAAAGCGACCATTTCCGGCTCTCGGGCTATGGTCGTGGACCTAGTGAACAAACTAGCAAAGTACAGGGAGCACAGAGACGGAATTAACAAGCAGAACCACTCCGGAAATACCCCACTTCACCTCGCTTTTCAATTCGACCATCCAGATATCGTCGAGTTTCTAGTCAAGAGCCACGCGGATCTAACCATCAGGAACAGTCAGGGGGTGACAGCATCGGAACTGGGTGCAATGCTTGGTAGAGGTGATAGTTTGGATATTCTAAACCGGATCGGAGAAGAGATTAGGGAGGATACTGTGGGGGAGACTGTAGGGGGGGCATGGAGGAGACTTTGGAGGAGGCCACGGACGAGACGCTAGACGAGCTTGGAGAGGACACGGCAGAGGGGGTGGTGGGAGGAGTCGGGGCGCAGACTGGCAACATCGGCCTCTGAGAAAGCGAAGCTATCACGGAGCCACTGTAGCTAAGTAACTCACTATTGAGCGCTTGGGTGGGCATTTCTTGTTGCATCCTGCTTGCTATATAGATGCACCTATAACCCATTACCGTAGGGGTGAGGAAGTGCTACCGTGCGGCAGTTGTGCAATAGGAACGGGTAAAATCCTTTCCCCAGACCGACCTATATTACAATCCTTTGACATGGATGCGCAAACCGCCGGTCGCATGCTGGTCTCACCCATCCTGTATCGTGTACAGTAATGCCGCGAAGTATTTCCACTTTTTTATTAGTTAGGTTAGCTCAAGCGGTGGCTTCTTCGGCTCTCAGGGCCAGCGGTGCCGGCGGGCCATACCCTCCACTCAACTCTGAGGGGCCGTATTCGCTTGTTTACTTTCTTATTTTTGTTTTTGATTGGTTGGTTATTCATGAGAAAATGTCGGACTCGGGATATTGGCGGCACCGCAATACTATGATTCACTGCGGGCTTATTAGACAGCTAAGCAGAGCCTGTTACCAACAGCGGGAGGGGGGGGGGTGGTTCCCACTCCTTGGTTTCTTCACTATTTTAGAGTGTGCAGCGTATCACAATCTATCTTATTTCTTGAGCTAGCTTTGGCGTATTTTCATGAGCTCTCCCACTAGTGCAGCAGCAAAACCAAGGGTCTACTCGAGTAGATTCAACCATAACAGCTAAGATACCTCCAATTTTTTCATCATGCGGGGCACCGNACCCCCCCCCCCCCTCCCATCCACCACAAAAACACAACGATCACCAAAAGCCTTTCCTGCAACAAATCGCAACCTCTTTCCGCACTTCTACCAAGTTCAAGCTGGGCCCATCCCCCGCAGCATTGATTGTGCCGAATTCCCTACAAGGCACTAAAGACAAGCTATCCACACTAAATGGATCCCCCCATCAGCAGAACCAACCTCACAGACGAGTAATACCAGCATGTGACTCTAAATGCAGTCAGCAGCCATAACCCCGACAAACCATCGGACCCTCCCAACAGTGAGCAACGATCCCAGATTCAGCGTACGGTACAAACCCTCAAGCACAACAGAATAGGCTGTCCACGACAGGCGACAAGCAAGTCCCACAACGCCACCAATTAACTCCCCGAACTCACAAAGGCGAAAGGAGTTTCCATGATAGGCTCACTCGGTCGGGCTGAAGGAAAGACGCTTTGTGAATAACCCTCATCCCACAAAAACACATTTCGATATCACTCACTCTGCCCGTTTCGGAACGGGCCGAAGCCGATCGACACGAGGTTTGAAATTTCGGCACGATGTGGGGGAATTCGGAGCTAATTTATCGACACTGCGGGATATGATACTGTACCGGTAGCGTCCACCTAGTCCAGCGCCCGGTTGCGCTCCGGAGTGAGTGCACGGGGGGACAAACGCGATGGGATCAAAAACAGTCCTATCCGATCCTATCCTATCCCATCCCATCCCATCCCTTCTCTTAGTCCGTACTTGAGGCCTTTCAGTCCAGCTCCCGACAATATTTTCCGAGATCAGGAACATTCCAAGCGCAGCAATCACGTGGATGCTTTCTACACCATACTCTAGTATGATACCATGCTAATCAGGCCACATCACGAGCTCTACGACCATACCATACCATACCACAACACCCCCGGTAAACATCGGGATTACCCAGAACCATCAACCGCGCCAAAAAGCCGCGAAACATGCACACGGATCTTATGTGCTTAGAACCGCATATATTAACCCCGACCCATGACCCCTGATCCCCCTTCCTTTCGAACCCGAAAAACGAGGGAATTCCCTCGCCGAGCGCAAATCTTCGGCAGAAACGACGTCTCTTACCCCGGTCTGTAATGCGTTTTATATATATATAGCGTCATGTAAAATAGGGCCTTGATCCATCGTTTTTAATTAAGTGGGATGCCACTGCCGATGCACTGCGCTTCCGCGATGATATTTCGTCCAGTTTCAAGTTACGGTAGTTGAGAGTTTGTGTGGTATGATAGCAGCGAGCTTGCCTGTGATACGACGGCCCTATAATTTACCGCCAATGATAGGATGAGATATGATAACATGACAGAGTCGAGTGACTGTACATGATTGCACATATTCCTTCCTCCCTTCCTGCCTTCCTTCCTTCCTTCCATCCCTTTGATAATAAACAATATTCATGATAGCATAAACTGGAAAAGAAAAAAAAATTCACCCCCAAACGACTTCCCTAACCGTAACGGGTATACCCCCCACTGGCTTCGCCGTGACCCCCGCCTTGACGACCAGCTCTTTCTTCCCATCCTGCCCAAACTCGAACCTGCCAACCGCGGCCGCGAGCAGGCACTTGAACTCCGCCCTGGCAAACACATGACCGATGCACCCCCTAGGCCCCGCCAGGAACGTGAGGAAGCCGTAATTGCTTTCCACGGCGGCCGCTCCGTCCGCCCCACCCGCCCACCGTTCGGGCTTGAACTCCTCCGCGTCGGCGCCCCACAGCGCCACGCTTCTGTTTATCGCGAACGGGGAAATCACGATGGACGTGCCCTTCGGTAGGAACTCCCCGTTTAGGGTCGTGTCCTCGCCCGCCATGCGCAGAGTCACGCCCACGGGAGGGTGCAGGCGGAGCACCTCGGACGTGATGTAGGAGAGGTACTTGAGGTTTGCGATCTGGTCGTATGTGACGGTGGCCGGGACGCCGGAGGGGAACGCGGCGTGTATCTCGGCGCGGAGGCGGGATTGGATGTGTCTGTTCTCCGGGAGGGATAAGGTGTATATGGCCCAGATCATCGAGGTAGCGGTCGTTTCGTGCCCGGCAGCCAGGAAGGTCATCATCTGGTCGCGCATGCTGGACTCCCCTTCTGGGCCAGTGTAGGTGTCCGATTTCAGCATCACGGAGAGGATGTCATTGGATTCAGAATCCTTCGGGGAGGTGGCCAGGGCGGACTTCTTGGCGGCCAGAATTCGCGCGGTCACGCGCCTTATTGTCCCCGCTGCACGCGCCACCTCGCGTGTTCGCTTTAGCGCGAGGTACTGCACAAAGCTGGAGGGGAATATCGTGGATAGGACCACAGCGATCCAGGATGGACTGCCCTTGTTGAAGATTGTATTGTATGCGTTCGCTAACTCGGAGCCGGACTTTTCCTCCGTATCGCTGCTACCGCTTATGGAAGCACTCTCCAGGGCACGGAATTCATAGCCGAAGCCGCAAGAGCCAATTATGTCCAGCGTCGCCAACGAGCACCATCTCCCCATCTCCACCACCACTCCCTCTTCCCCCTCCCCGCCAGAACTCCTAGAAGCGCGCACCACCGCCGCCACTTTCTCCGTCATTTCCATCCCCTTGGACCAGAACCCGGGCACCAGTGCCTTAATATGCGCGTGCGAGAAAGCCGGCAACAGCAGTTTCCTCTGCATCTTGTGCTCCTCACCCTCCACGAACAGCAGGCCCGTCCTTCCGAGAATCTTGGCGACGTCGCTCGTTAGAATGGGCGGCTTGATGAAGCAGTAGCTCTTCGTGTGCAGCACTTCCTTCAGCGCCTCCGCGGTTGTGGGGAGCACCCGCTCGATGTTAAAGAGGTCGAGGTACCGTAGCAGCCCACTATTCGGGATCGTGCGCATCCAGTTGGCCTGCGGGGCCCCCGATCGCACCCCATGGATTATGGGGAAATTGCCCATCAGGAAGCTGGCGCTGGTAGGCCCAGGGAGGTGCCGGGTCGGGGAGAGGAGCTTGGGCCAGAGGATGAGGCGGTAGAGGAGGTTGCAGGTCAAGGCGAGGGAGGCTAGCAGTAAAAACATGGTGATCGCGCCGAACCGGGTGCGGCAGGAGAGCAGTATGGCGGATGCTGCACACCCCATTAGGAGAGTTTTTGTGGACATTGTTAGACTAGGAGAGAGTGTGGAGCTAGAGGGGAACACCGGCGGTCAACGTTGGTGGGCGATGGATGGATTTTTCTTCCTCCGCGGGCGGGGAAGTGAGTGCGGGAAAAAGGCTTCAACAGATGCGATGCCTCGTTGGGGGAATACCCCCCGGTTAAGTACCTCCCAGCGCAGCCTCCAAGCGCATAGTGTTACATCCGCCCATTTCACCCCCCCTTCCACCCCCGTCAATCATGCGACACGAAGGCTTGCCCAGGATTGGAGGTCAAACGCCAAGACCGGACAAGGCTTAGAACGACGGAGCCGCAGATGTGTTTCGTCAGTTCAACTCGTCCTAGCGCTTCCCCACCCCCCGAACACCGGTATCGCTAATCAGAATTTCGGGAGCCCCGCAGCTGGTAACCGATGATAATGCCTCGCTGCCGCAGCCACCTTAACATACCCAATCCACTGGTACAGTACTACTCGGGTATGGACGTGGGAGACCGGACAGCCAGGGATTAGAGGTGTCAAAGCTTCTTGCTTGTTCAAGCAATTCTCATGCCAGACTCATTCCGTTATTTCCTATGAGGGCAAGAACGGTCAGGCCTCTAGAATCCCTGGCGGTCCGGTCTCCCACGTCCATACCCGAGTACCATAGTACACTACTTGTACCGTACCGCAATTGCGGCCCTCCCCCTATACCATTCTTGAACCTTGTGCCATGCGGTCAAAAATTCCCTTCCCCCCCCCCGAGACGGAAAGGAGGAGCAAAATTGCCAGACCCTGTTCGGAGAGGAAGGCCCGGCAACATAACCGTGGGGATTCCAATTATAATCGGCCCACGTGCTATGTAGTTGAAAACTTCCTACTCTGGAAACGAGGCGAAGAAGAACACACCAAAAAGTGGGCTGATGAGCCCCCCCTATGAGACATAAGGAAAAACAAAAAAGGAACCAGGCCGTTCCCGAGCACAAGAGGAGGCAACTCCAACGACATACCGGTAGCACATGGGCCAATTCTTGGAGTTTCCGCGGCACCACATTGTTAAATTACTAGTATGGTAGGCTCCTATCTAGGTTATTCCGGTACCATACGATAAAGCCACTGAATACCGTATCCTCCGGATTTTTTCATCCCATACCGTAACCGTGCCAAGTATCCTCAGTTCCTTCCTCTCCAGACCTTGTCCACACTCCCTCCCTCCCTCCCCGCGGGGTTATCACCTCCGGAAAAAAAGGGGGGGCAATATCAACCCCACCGGGGCAACTATCGCCCGTCTGTTTTCAACACATGTCTGTTTTTCCACTCTTTGGTGGGGGAGCTATTGCACGGGTGGAGCGATAAGATATTAGTACAGTACGAGTACAGTATCGGCAGCACATTCCAGCCGACAGGTGCAAGTAGGCTACCAGTAGTCCATTTACTCATAATTGCACGGACGTTTGTGGAAAGGCCAGCTAGAGCCCCGGAATTCCGACGACATGCGGCAGCGGTCACGGCGTTACGGGTACGGTACCATACCATACCCTACGGACACAGGCCGCGCAGGCCACCCTACTCGAATACAATAACACGTTGCATCGTGGTGAGTCCAACCGAGTCATTTTTGTCTATACGACTCGAACAAGTTCGTGGGGGGATGCGCAGGCTGCAATGGGAAAGGTGTGGTGCGGTGAGTCGAGTCATGAAAGTGCACCAAGTTGCTGCTCGGCACTTGTGCAGCGCAGGCCGCTGTCCGTGATGGAGTTGGCCGTTGAGATCTGACTTGCCTTATACCCCCGGTTGCGCACGGCACTGTAAATGACTGGGGGAAGAAGATGTGCGAGTGAGTGAGTGAGCAGATCATCCGCCATATTCCAGGTCGAATTTGACAATAACCCTTGCCTGTTGGTTGAAAGGCAGGTCTCAGAGTTGACAGTGTCGGATTCTCGGCAGAAGGCTTGAATTTCGGGCCCGCCCCCCGTAGGGGGAGCAAGGAGGGCGTGACTATTGCCACAGCGTCATAGTTATCCTCACGTTCGGGGAAGACGAGAGGGTGGGAGAGTGCTTTGGAGGGATGGTACTAGTACTCGTACTCGTACTCGAGTACAAGGGGGGGGAAGGAAGTAGTGCGACACCATTGCAACCGCCTTTTGCACGATCACACTTCCACTACCAACCCCCCTCCTCCGATACTGACAGAGTCCCTCACGGCCTGTCAGAAAAATTCTGGAAGGCAATATGTGGGTAAAGGGAACCCGGAGCAGAGAGCGTAAGTAGTCTAGTTAAATAACTATGTACATATGATTAAGATAATAAAAAAATAAAATAATTTAGCGATCAATGCACAAAATATTGAACGCTGACGATCGTTAACGAAGAAGAAGCAACGCTTCGAGCGAGAAACTACCCACGATGACCGAATCCGTATTATTGCTCTCCGAGAAATAGCGGAATGGTCTTTCAGAAAGATTGCTGCTGAATTGGAGGAAAAAATGGGCCTTAAAGTCCACCATAGTACCTGTGCCTGCATCTATCAACGCTACCGGGAAACTGGTAGTCCTTCCAACTACCAGCGATCAGGAAGACCCCCAATCTTTCAAGAGTCTGACCTTCTTGATCTGAAGTCTTTTATTAAAGAAAATAAAAGAAACAGAAGGCTATCTTGGGAGGATATTAAAGAAGAGAAGGGATTAAAAGCATCAGCTAGGACAATTAGGAAGACAGCTAGGAGTCTTAATTTAAATAAAAGAAAACCTCGCAAAAAGTAGGTACTCTAATATATATTTAACTTTTTACAAAACTAAAATATATTTTAGATGGGGATTGCGTCCCAAAAATATACCAATTAGATTTGGTTGGTGTATGAGGAAAAGAGCTTGGAAATTAAGAGAGTGGTCCAAAATCATTTGGACAGATAAAACCTCTTTCTCTACAGCTGGTTTTGGGCAGAGAGGATGGGTAATAAGGGAACCTTCTGAGGAGTATGATCAGGATTGCCTTGATGAGATCTGGGAGTCAGGAAGGGATACAGTTATGGTATGGGGAGCATTTTGTAGAGATTTGAGGTCAAAGCTAGTAGTGGTGCCAGGAAAGATAAAAGTGGATTCTTATAAGTATACTAAGTGTATACTGGATCCAGTTTTAATTCCTTTCTGGCATGAGTGTTGTGAGAGATTTGGTTGGACTAGAATTGTTGAAGATGGTGCTCCAGGGCATAAAGGGTAAGTTCTATCTCCTTTCTTTATCTTATAATTATTTTATATTCTGTCTTTTTATTATAAAACTACCTACTTATGAATGTAATCTAACTGCTAATTTAATTACAGATTTTCTACAAAGTGTAGAAAGAAAAATAAGGTGGATATATTGCCCTGGCCACCACAGTCTCCAGACCTGAACTTAATTGAAAATATCTGGGGAGATATGGAGGCTTACTTGGGGAAAAGGTATGGAAGAGTTGCAAGTAGGGAAGAGCTAATCAGAGCTGTGGAGGAGGCATGGAATGCTATTCCTAATGGAAGGTTTATGGATCTTTGCAGAAGTATGCCAAAGTGGGTCAGAGAGGTTATCAAAAGAAAAGGGCACCAAACTCATTACTGATTTAATATTTTCTTTTTATTTTACTTTCAGGAAATACTGAGGATTATTTTATTTTATCTCCTTTACTTATCTTATTTATTAAATGTTGTTGTGGAAAGGGGTAGTACAATATGTTGTCAATGTTGTTTGTGAACGGGAGTTTGTGTTGTACGAGTGTCGCATTACTTTTTTCCACCCCCTGTACTGTGCTATGCGGTAGCCTACGCAGGTAGGGCAACGCATCCCCTCATTTCATCCTGTATATTCTCGATGACCCCGGGTGCGGTTGACAACTGCCATGGAGCGAGTCCTTTAGACACCAGCCCACCTATGTAACATAGCTGACCACTCTCGAGGTTTCTGAGTAAATTACGGGGCAACGAGGATGGGAGTTTCGACTACGAGGGGAAAATACACTACCGGCTCACTGTACCAGCCCGACAACACAGGGGGAGGTGGCGAGCCCGGCGGTATCCACGGGGGTCAAAATTACGCGACCGGAGGTACAACTGTCAGCGTTGCAACCAATGTACCTCAACTCAATAAACCCAACAAAAAAAAAAAAAACTGTTGTGGTAAAAAAACTGACAATAACAGAAATTAATACCTGGTATATCACCCAATGGGCTCAATCACACAGCCTTTATCCTCTGGGGTATACCCCTTGCTAAACTGTCAAATGAATCAGAGTACAATAGTTCAGAATGTGTGATGGCTGTTGCAAGGACAAGTTTCTGTGGTGTTGCTAATTGGTACATGTGTTGCAA